CCCTACACTGATATGCACTGTAAAGTGTTTCAAGTAATTCAGCCTTTTAGCTAATTAAAGCCAAGCTGGAACTTAAAAAACCCTAATGGGTTGTCTTGGAATTTAAGTCAAAAATGATGGCGCTAGTGTTAGATCGCAGTTACAAGCAAAGCAAAATTCTGTTTTGAATCCTGAATGTGAATTCCTATTCCATTTGACCTAAGCAGGGAAAAGTGTTATTCAATGCTCTTTCTTATGGTAAGGAAGACCTCTGTAATGATGCTATCTCTGGGAAAAAGAGTAAACCTAATTCAAGGAGAAAGGTCCTTTATTTTTTTAATTCTCCCCTTCTCTCTCCCCATCATTTCCTTAGAAATACAGGAATACATCTTGAATTGCACACAGAGAAATTACTAGATGTCTGATTAGGGACACTGTATGTGTGGAAGTCCCCGTTCCTTTTACCTTAACATGAATGAAGCTCTTAGTGCACTATAAGGCAGAGTATCCAAACCAAGACTGAGTCAGGACTTTAGTAGAAGAGGCTTATTTAGAAAACTAAACCACCAAATGCCATGTTTGGGTACCTAAGTAACACATCTTTTAGAAGAGGAATAAAATACTGTGAACCAGCTTAAATAATGTTACAGCCTGTGCTTCTCTGCTAGAACAGAATTAAACCAGTCCATATCAGCTAGGGTAAATTGGGGTAAAAAAGAGGAGAATCTGGAGTGCATTTTTTCAGTTCTGCTGGTACCAGAATGACAGGTACTCAAAGCAGGAAGATTACCTATGCCTCTGTTTTACAGAGCATGTTTCTGACACAGAAAGTAGTTTAGGATTGCTAATTACTGCTGCAGCTAATAAACATGAACTTCACTTGAAACTCATTGATTGGAGTGGCAGGAACCTAGGACACAGTTACAAGGATTTTTTTGTTTCAGTTAACAAAACTGAAAGTAGCATTTCTTGAGAGATGCTTGATTCTTACCGATAATGGAAATATCTCGAATTACACTGTATTTACTGACTTTTTACCATATTAACTAACTTTAAAATTGAATTTATGTATTTTGTTTTGTGTTTTGGATCTGTTTAGCTGAGCTTGGTGATTATGATCCTGAGGAACACCCAGAGAATTACATCAGCGACTTTAAGATTTTTCCGAAGCAGTCACAAAAGCTCGAGAAGAAAATAGCCGAAATGCATAAAAATGAATTCAGGTAATTTGGAAAGCTGTTTGGTAATGAGACAGCTAAGAAACACTTTTATATTTCCAAATAGAGAATGTTAAGTCAGGAGGACTTGTTCCTTGGATTACAGTGGATGCTCTACCAGTATACAGTTCAATATGCCATTTCATGATAGTGGTTTTTCTTTTCCTGTTAGCCTTCATTAATCATAGCTGATTCCTGAATGTGTGCTGATAATTTAGACTGCATTTGTTTCAAGTGTAGGTCTGGTTAGTGGGAGTGGCTCACATCATGAATGCTGATCTGGTTGATTAGTGGAATAACATCTTTTACTTAGAGATCACGTGTCTTTTGCTGTGTAATTTCTGTATGCAGTGCAATTATAAAATTATTGATATATTTTGACCTGACAGAAACTGTAACTAAGTTATTTTAGCTGTAGTTTGTTAACATGATGGAAAATTGCACAGAAATGTATTTAAATAACTTATTTTGAAGACTAAGGAGGTGAGATTCAGGACTCTGCATGCTCTTTTTCTGTCCTAAACTTTTAATAGTGTGACAAAGGGAATGGACACAGATAGATCAATCAGTCTTTTGGTTTCAAAGTTGAACGTGTCCCAGCGATACAGTGTATTCTGCAGAGGAGTAGCTGTGCGTTGTGCAACTCTACCCTCTTCAGGATTGTAAGCAAATGACATGCGCCGTGCTTTAAGGTCAGTTTGTTCGGTGCCTCTGCGGTTTGCTTAGTTGGGAATAGTCCTCAGGAACCCTGGAGAGAAATAGGATGTGCAGAAAATCAAATTAAAGCAAACGATTAATTACAGAAAGTAGAAGGACGATTTTTATTCAAACATTACAGGACCCTTTGCTCTTGCTTAAAACCCCTGTAATTTGTTTTCATATTGCAACATGTAAATGCTTTGTGGGAGACTGTGTCAAAAGCCTTGCTGAAATCAAGGTAGACAACATCCATTGTTCTCCCTTCATCTTCTCAGTCAGTCATTTCATCATAGAAGGCTATTGGATTAGTCAAGCATGGTTTCTGCTCAGTGAATCCGCGTTGACTGCTCCTGATAACCTTCTTTTCCTCATGTGCTCGAAGGTGACATTCAGGATGAGCTGTTCCATCATCTTTCCAGGGATGGAGGTGAAGTTGACTGGCCTGTAATTTCCTGGGTCCTCCTTCTTGCCCTTTTTGTAGACTGTAGTAACATTGACTTTTCGCCGGTCCTCAGGAACCTCTCCTGTTCTCCATAAGGTTGTTCTTCAGCCTTTCAAAGATAACGGAAAGTGGCTTAGCAATAACATCTACCTCTATCCTCTTCCTGATAGGATGGCCTGTAGTAAACGCCCACAAGAGTGTTACTCATGTCAGCTTGCCCTTTAGTTCTTACCCATAACCTCTTGACTTGCTCTTCATCCACCCCTAAGCAGAGCTTGATACTTTCCGGTTGCTCTCACATATAAAGAGCAACTCTACCATCTTGCCTTGCTAGCCTTTCAAAAGTATGCAGCTATCCATGACAGCATTCCAGTCATGCAAGCTATCCCACCATATATTTCTAATAGCAACGAAATTGTGTCCCTGCACTGCACAGAGATCTCTAATTCTTCCTGTTTATTCCCCATGCTGCATGCGTTGGTGTATAGACACTTCAGAGAGGTAATTGAGTATGCACGCTTCCCAGGAGGGGTGCAAGAAGATCCACAATAGCCATACACACTCTTGAGGTGGTTGGCTTTCTGGTTCTCATCTTGGGAACTAAGGAACATTCATCGCTGCTCTGGCTGGCCTAGCTTATTCCCACGTTGGATGTGATGGTGTGAATGATGCCACTATGGACACCACCTGTGAGTGGCTTCACTTTAAAGCCCACCTCACCAAGCTGGCCACTTCTAGACAGGTGGATCCCATCCCTCCCTAACAGGCTGTAGTCATAAAAGAATGTCCCATTGTCATTAAAGCCAGAGTCCTCAAGATAGCACCAGCCATGAAGGCAGAAGTTGATTTGCATTATACATCTATTTCTGGCTGAATCCTTTCCTTTAACTTTTAAAATGGAAGAAAAGATAACTTTGGTACCAGTATTTTTCACTTGCACTTTCAGAGCTTTATAGTCTTTGATTCTGCCCAGGTTCTGGTTTGTGGTGTCATTTGAAAAAGCAGTTTTCTTTCACTTACTGTAGTATCTGTGTGCCTTACCTATTTAGTCTGGTTACAAAGACAGTTTCAGAGCTGTCTGGACAGCTGCCTGGCAATTTTCCACTGTAGTTCTGTCTTCCCAAAATTGATCATCCTATTACATTTCTTACATCAGACCTTCACTAGTCACATAGAAGTTTTAACTTTTTGGATATTTAATTCCATGGATCTCTATTCTAGGAGTACAAATTAATAAAACATAACTGTCATATAATGAACTATACATGGAGAGGTCAGAGCTTGATGATCAGGTTTCTATATCTAGCTGGAAAGAGATGGCTAAAAAAAGCGTTGAGCTTATAGTCTTCTGGCTGGTATTGGTTAGCACAACTGTTTTACTGCATTCAGCAAGTTGACTTTTCTTATAAGAATTGATATTTTGCTGAGTATTTTTGAAAATGCGCAAAAGGTTCCCTGGCCTTTTTTTAACAAATTACTTAAATCACATGTTAGCTGAAAGCTAAAAGCTAACATGTGAGCTAAAAACTAACATGTGAGGAGAGCATAAGAGACTAAGAGCCATTTTAACCCATCTGCCATTCTGCTACATTCAGAAGAGTTACTTCTGAGTTTCAGCACTGCAAGTGAGTCTGATTCTTTGTTTTCTTAAGATGTGTAAATAAAAAACAGATCATGCAGCAGGGTTCCAAATAACCGAAGACCTGTGCCTTGGAAGAAGCCATTTCTTCGCTGAATCCTCTCTCTGCATCCTCAAGGGCTGTTCACTGGGCACATCTTTTCTTTCACAGGTTGACATAAGAATTTGCTTTTTGAAAGGCACATGAAGACCATGAGGGGAGTGCCTGGGAAGCAGCAGCAGGGTACTGTGACAGCTGCCAGTAACTTCATGACTTTAGACGCCTTGTCATTTAGACGCCTTGTTCTTACTAATTAAAACAGATGTATGACATGGTGGCCCTATTTCTTATCCTTTATGGCTGTGAAAACATCAGTGGATTTTAGCAAAGTGTGACCTTTTATGTGACTTCCCACTGCACCTAATGGCAAAAACATAAATGTGACAGACAGAAATGCATGTCAGCTTTATTGAGCTGTGATTGTCTTGTGAATCTTAATTAATTATTCTCCCCTTATTGAGAAAGGGAGAGGTACAGGAATTACTTCATTTAAACTTACTAGCAATGGGGCAAACACATGCCTTGGTTTAATCACAATACATAATCTCATATCCTTGTCGTCTGAAGTAAGTCCTCTTTTGAGACATGGTATATTGCTGGGACGTAAAGAAATAATGCTCTATGGCTTAAAATCTTAGAATATGTGAGGAGGTACTAGGAGCTTAGGAGACTTGGAGACTTGTTCTTGAAAGAATTCAAAATTGATTTGAGTGTCATGCTTCTAGGTATGGTTACAACAGAGCATAGCTACTGGAGTAATAGCTACTTGTGTCTCTGTTTCCCTGACACTTTTAACAGATTGAGAAAGATTTGGACCATACAAATCTAGATACTCTGTGAGTGTATTCTGGTGTACCTGTTTCTTTAAGTGAACTGAATGCTATGGTCCTGCCCCTCGACTAAATGCAGGTTGTTCATTTGCCTGTCCCTTATCCCTTTTAGTTAGATATGTGCAAGTGTTTGTAAGATTGCATTGTACATCATATCAGTGAAGTGATCCAAGTTAAAAAATATTTTATTTTCTTTTACTTGACTTCCATGCAAAAGTACGTGCAACCACATGTTCAGTTCTCAGCTATTTGGCAATATTAAAGGCACTTAATACACTGCACTGTGCTCAGTATGTAAAGCCATGGTTAATTTTGATTTCTTGTCACCAAAATCTTCAATCCTAAAAAAAAAAGAGTTCTGTATAGATTTGTGGAGAACCAAACCAAAACTGACTCATCAAATGAAGTTAAGCAGTCATGACATCTTCTAGGTAGAGGAAAGGAAAGCTGAGTGAAAGGTTAATTCTTCAAGCATGACAGCAGGGATTATTAGGAATATGTGAATATGCTTTTATGTGAAAGATCACTCAGATGATCTTAATAATCTCTTTGGGATTTGAGATTTTGTTGGGGTTTTTTTAGGAGTTTGCTCTTTTCAGATGTTCCCAAAACAGCTGTGCTTTTTCCATGGCAGAATTACTACTGCTCATTTATTCACACAGCTGGCATTAATGGCCAGCCCAGTTTTGCTTCTAGCTGTTACTACTGGATTTTTTGGGGTTCTCTTACAAAAGAATGGACTTCGTAAGTATCTACGCACCTGTGTCAGTACTAGTTCCAAACTGACATCTGCGTTGTAACAAACTGTGGAATTTGCTTCAGACAACCAAATAAATCATCAGATGTTTTCAGTGCAGTCACATTCCTCTCTCCCTTTTCCAAGGCAAATAGTCCTTATTATGAATTTATATCAAATCTTATGTTCTTTAACAGAACATTTGTTACTCTGATATTCTCTGAAATTCCCTGGCTTTTGAAAGCTGCCTGCCAGCCAGAACTCCCCGAGGCCAGACACCTGAAAATAGAGATTTCCAAAGAGAAGATCCACATAAATCCCTATCAAGGGATTTCTTTTGTAGGAATCATGAGGGTTTTTTTCCTTTTTTCTTTTTTGAAAGGTTTCAGTGGTTGGAAATAAAGATTTTCTTTCTTTTTTCTTTAATCTCACCTGAAGACTAATAATCAATTTTTACTTCTTTCTAAGATGAAATATTATGCCACGTAATTTATATGAAAGTGTTTTGTAAACAGTGATTAATTTATCTGAAAGCCCTATGCAAACATTAACTTTTCCATGTAAATTACAGAGTTACATGACCTGTTCAAATGCCTGTTTTCCAGGCTGACCTAGGACCT